GAACAGATTTATCGAGACTTGTGACATGGAAACCATGTTGAGAACTTTTTTTTTTTATTATTTTATATCATAGGATTATTTGTTCTTTTTATTTCTTGTTTTAATTTTTTTTAGCAAATTTAGTTAAAAATGAAAGAAGTAATTTCTGTTAAATATGAAAGTATATATATTGACTAAACTACAATTCAACCTTTTTCTTCGACTGCTGTGATTAGATTTTTTTTCCGGAAACTAGCGGAACCGTTAAGAAAGGGCTTCCTTCTGCCATAAGTAGAAGGGTTAAGGGCTTGTAAGTCTAAAAAGATAGTTTAGGGGCTCGTGTCGAAGAATAGGGTAAGTTCAAGAGCTTAAGATTTGCCATTATAATATTAATGTGCAAGCAAAATTAAAAATCATCCGTTATCAAAGAAAAAAATTAAAATCATCTAAATGTCTTATCTTCCACACAATATTTAAACCATAATCATGGTGACCAAAAATTTCCATGATAGGTAAAAAGAGAAGAAATTTCCACGAACCATAGTTATCTCTAAGAATTGAACGCCATTTTTCAAACTTTTCCAGTCTTCACGTTGCACAACAGTAGCACAAGACCTGTAAAAGCTGTATTATTATTATGGTGGAGCAAAAGGACAATGAAAGCACCAATTAAATTGACTTTAAAGCAACAACGACCAAAAAGACATCCAAGTCTTGGCGAACGCGCTCGAGTGATCATGATCGAAATAGAAAAATAGGCTGCTTTAAATCACTTATACGCGGAATCTTTATCTTTAGTGTAACTTCGGGGAAAGGTGTTTTATTTGCCTGTCCATGGTGGGGCAAAAGATTTGTGAAAGGGAGAATTAAAATTAACCAACCCTCCTGCGTGCACGCTCGGCACTAATTAATTAAGTTGACTTAAGACCAAAAAGACTTCCAAGTCTTGGAAAAATTAACTCAAGTCATCAAGATTTCAAAAAGCTAAAAGAGGATAATCGTTTACTCTGAATCTTTTTCTTTAGAGTAACTTAAGGGATAATGTTTTACCTATCTAATACTCATCCGCGGTTCTATATCTAAAAATTATTTAATTAAGTAATAAATATAGATTATATTTGATTCCTACATTCTAACTTAGTGGCTAGAACTCTTAATTAAGTAGGAATTACCTTTTGTGGGTTGAACCTTCTAACTTCACTGATCTTATTCTCCCTTCTTCCTATTTACCCTGGTCACAAATATAGATTATATTTTACCTATATCTAAAAATACTCACTGTGAATAATAGAAATAGGCAATATTAATTTACCACTACTCATAATTTCTTTTCATTTGAACTGCAATTTTTATAATTCAACTAACATAAATGCCCAGAAAAAAAGGGGAAAAAAAAATAGTTATTCTTGAGTTCTAAGGATGTGTTTAGTATATAGAAGTTTGTGGTTAGTAGTTTGTAGTTTGAAATTTAAACTAATCAAAAGAATAAAT